AAAGTCACCTTTAAAGAGTGATTATGTTATTTTGCTCTACAAATGACTACTTAAAAAAATTTAAAATAGTGTAGTGATTGGTTTTTATTTGATAATCTATGGAAAGAATAAACTCCAAAAAATGAAGCGAAAGCATACAACATCTAATAATATTATTCATAAATTATATTCATTATTAATTATTAATACTTCTCATACAAATGCATACTATCAATTGAAATAAATAGATTGCAATATTTAAACGCTTCTATGCATTGCGGAAATGTTCAAAATAAATTGTGAAACATAACATAATTATGATCAACAACATTACTTCTATAGTATGGTTGAGTTAATAATAAACTACATTACCTAACATATAAGACAAAAACTCATTGTACGAAAGTTTTCAATATTCATAAATCTTGTATACTATCACGACCCTTTTTATAAAGAATTAATGAAATCCTGCATTACCTTTCCTAATTCATTTATTCATTTATGAGACAGTACATATATAAGTCAAAGAGTATAAATTTTTTATAAATTTAACTTCAACATCCAAATTAACAAAATAAAAAAGTTCTAAGAGTATTTTCATATAATTAAAAAAATTTACATAAATTTATACATTTACAACACTATTCAACAAGGAGATCAAAATACAAGTTATTCGAATAATGATTACATTCCTTGAAAATTGTAACCCAATAGTCTAGACCTATTACTACAACTTAGATTGACAAAATAATTTTCCTTCAGCTAGACCTTCTAGCTTGAGAAGTAGACACATTACCTGTCCCTTTTACTCACATACTACTGTACGATTATTGTAGCACATATACCAACATACAAAAAATTGCAAAGGTGAGCTTATATAATTAACAATCATCAGAATATGAATATGTAAAATAATTTAAACAGCTAACATATTTCACACCATTCAGCACAACAGCTTCAATCAATTGATGCAACATGTTCAGCTCATTCCCAGCCCAACTAATGCAAATGCAATGATTCAGTTTCATCTGATTTCACCCAATCTCAGCAACACATCCTTATATATATATTCACAGCAAAATCAAACATCTCATAGTATTAATTAAGCATTTATAAACGAATTAAACAACTTACAACATTAATAAGACTGCTCAATAAAGTTCAACATTCTCAGCACATATATCACAGTATTTCAGTATATCATGTCTCATTACAACATTCTAAGTACTAATCAAACAACAAAGAAACCCACTCAACAATAATACTCTGGGTTATAATCTGGGGTCTAACCACACGACAACTTACTCTCGGCTATAACAAAATTAAATTCATAATACATCAGACTCAATATTTGCTAAACAAATAAGTCAGCTTAGATAAACTCTCCTTATCTGGAATAAGTTTTCTTCATATCAAACTTCACGTGGGTCCTCAATGAAGGAAACAACGCTCGTAGGTTTAGATTTTTCTCACTATCAAAAATTTGAGACTTTAGAGAAGAGAAACCAAGAAATCAAACCTAGAGTTAAAGATTAAGGTTTCGAAATCTCACATAGATTCACACTAAACAGCGATTTCCACTTGGATCAGGAAGAAATTCGGCCTTGAGAAGGTTTCTCTAAGGTAATATAGTGAGAGAACAAAAAGAAAATAAAAGAGGAAAGCTGTCGGGTAAAAAATGAATGTTTATGGGCATTGAGGCTCCTTAAATACCTCTCCAGATTCGCGCATTTTTGCTTGAGTGAGCTAATCCTTGCTTGAGCAAGCTCTTTTCTTACCTTGGCGAGCTCACCCTCGCTTGTGCAAGAAAACCAGACAGTGGAATCTTTCAAATTTCTGCTATTCTCGCTTGAGCGAGAAACACCTCGCTTGAGTGAACCGCATCTCGCCTGAGCAAGTAACATTCTCACCTGAGCGAGATTGGGTCTAGAGAGCTACCCATTTTTTCTGCGACTTCTCGTTTGAGTGAGCACCTCTCGTTTGACCGAGGTCGCCTCTCACCTGAGTGAGATCCCTTCTCACTTAGGCAAGGGGACGATTGGGACAATCTTATCTGCTCTCGTTTGAGAAAGATTGATCTTGCTTGAGCATGAATGCTTTAGAATGCCGAATCCTACACACCCTGAACTTAGAACTCCAAATCTCTTTTCCAAATGGGATAATACTAACTCTTGATCATACTCCCTAATTTCTTCCATGCATAACACACTTAACAACCAATCTCTAACTCGCTCTATACATCATCACACTTGACAAAATTATGACACAGCACTTGAGAATATATTGCTCCTTATCCAGTAATTACACAACCTTTACATTCACATTCTCATATATGAATAATTCATACACTTTAAGCATACACAACACAATTCAAATAGAATAATAGATACACATAAATACATCGATCTGACACATATTGCCTTTTGTTTCCTATACAATACCTTCATATACTTTGCCTTGAACTTCAACTTTGACTCCACAACACTTTGTAGTGCTTTAATGGATACAGTTGGATCTTATTACACCATTGACAAAATAAATGCACATATAACATCCTTATCTAATTGTCAGTCCCTTCCAAAGTTGAAGCAAACATACATGTGTGTGGTCTATTATACTTTTAGACTTCCCATATTTGCATTTTGTGGCAATAACTAATACAAATACTTTAATTGCATCTATTGCCAAACTTCATGCATTTACCATGACATTCTATATGATCTAACTCATAAACTTTGTATTCAATTGATATTTGAATATTGTAACTCTTGATTGAAAATAAAACAACTTCCTTGTCCATAAATAATTGTCTCACTTGTAGCTTTATTCATCCATCCAAACTGACACTTCCACCAATTCCACTTACTTCGTCTAAGAACTCATCAACACTACTTGGATTCATTACATCTAAATTTAATGTTGAATAATGACTAGGTTGTTATCGAGAATGAAAAGGTGATACAGATTGTCACATGTACTATTGTGTCTAACTAATACTATCTATCTTTCTGTTAGATCCTTTATCACTTTACCTATCAAATTATTTTTCTTCCACATCTTTCTTATGCTCAATCAAATTTGAACAATAAAAACTAGCAATAAGCTTATCATTGAACGACTTAGGAAGTTGCGCAAAGTTTGGAGTCACCACAATATCACCAACATTTTTATTTCGTTGTTCAAAATTATTTATGATAATCTAATTAATTGGAGAGCGCAATGCCCCAACAACTAAATCGTAGGGATTAAAACCTCCAAAACTAAATTAACATTCTTTCATATCACTGTAAATTGAATAATTGGTATACTTAATCACACCTTGTAAAATTGCTATGGACAACTTGTACAACACCTCTATTATGTGCTTGCTATTTTTATGCTATAACTATTACAATATACTGTTTTGCAATTGATAATCAAACATCTAACTATGCAAATTATTCAAACACTACTAAAAGTAACTATTTATGTGATATTTGTAACTTAACTATTGTAATGAATTAATATATAACAACTTTCAGCCATATTTCTGTTAACATTACAATTATTCTGCAAAGATGAACGTTATGCTATAACAATATTTCTCTATTATCTTTTTTATATAATGGATATTATGACCTAAATCATACAAATACAACTTAAGGTTAAGCACAAGATATGTTCATACTATATATGCACACTTGTGCTCAACTATAAATCATGTAAAAACGGCACAACTTCTACATTAGCACGTAAGTTGCACCGCGTCAGTGTGAAACACTCACCTTTAAAACTAAACGAAATTAAAAAAAAGGATATTCAAGTAATAGTCACACGATATTTAACTTTTACCATCCAACTACATTGGCAAATACATCTACTTCCGAAGAGATATTTGATGTACAATATGTATCAGTCGACATGCATTTGGAAGCTCTAGACGTGATGGTTGAAGCTATTGATCGTGGCCGACACTATTTTTTATTTTTAAATAAAGAAGAAGAATAAATAAATAAATTTCAAAATATATAAAATTTATCTAGAGAATTAAAAGTCTACAAACTGCATGGAGAAAATTCGTAAATATATATATATATATATTAAAATTAATGTTAGAATTTAATAAAACAGATTAATTAATTCTTTTGTAAGCCTTTTCCCACATGGAGAAAGTCTTGAATTACACAAACTGTACTAATTACTACATAGATAACTATTTATTATGAAATAAATAAATTTTTATATTTCTTTTATGTTAAACCGTTATGTTACTTTAAAATTAAATAACAATATATCAACTTTATTAATTAATATACGCAAGTAATTATTTTGATTAAGTTTATTAAATAAAATATCTTTTTGACATGAGTCGCAAATTGTTGTCGTCGGGAAATATTGAATTGTTTTTTAAAAAAAATTGGAAGTTAAAATGATATTTTTTTAAAAATAAACTATTTCAAATATGAATCAAACATGTAATTGTCGACAACAATTTAAATATAGTTAAAATAGCATTATAATATTAAATTGTAAAAATACCATTATTGAAACATATCCAACTTTTGCTAGTGAAACACGTCAAAATGTTTTAACGTTTTTGCGCAAAGCATAAAACCAAAATTTTAATTCCAATATGATTCAATTAAGCAAAAAATTAGCAATCATATTAGCACAAAGTCTAAAGTCTAAAGCATCACATGAAGAGCTTTAGGAATTAGGATTACCCTCTTTATCACGGGCTGAATAGCCCCACTAGACACTACATGTTAAAAATGTCCTCTAGCACAAGACCACTTTTTCTTGATGCCTCATGTCCATGAAATCCGAAATCTTGGACGCAAGAGCCTACCCCACTTCTCAACTTTTGTCGTTGTTGTGGAGAGTGATCAACTTTGTCCGTGAATCCAAAGAAGGAACTCACTCTGCCATACTGTGGGACCCACCTAATATCCTGAATGAATGATTTTTTGGGTCCTTCAAGTCAATGATTCATCACTACTATGAATAATTTAATTCCAATTGTTAGGAGTGAGATTTAGATTGATTGCCTCAACTCTTGTCCGTGAGTATGGCTCACGAGAAAGAGAAGCTAGGGTTGAGGGTTGGTTCATGATATAAGGGCATCATTGTTTGCTCATTGAAACATATATTCCCCCTTTCCATTCTTTGAAGAGGGGCTCCATTGGAACCTACGTAGTCTTTGTATCATGGCCAAGTTTGTTCTAGCATTTATCCTTCTCTTGAACTTGAGTACCTTGCTCAATGTCCTTGCTTGTCCTTATTGCCCTTACCCAAGTCCTAAGCCACCAAAACACCCTCCTAGAGTGAAACCACCGATTCACAAACCACCCAAGCAGCATCCTCCGTACGGCAAATCGCCATGTCCACCACCCAAGTCATCACCAAAACCACCCTATGTCCCCAAACCCCCAATAGTTAAACCCCCCCATGTACATCCACCCTATGTCCCAAAACCTCCTCACTATCCTAAACCACCAGTGCATCCACACCCACCTTATGTCCCAAAACCACCAGTTGTTAAACCACCTCCTTATGTCCCTAAACCACCATATGTGCCAAAACCACCATATGTGCCTAAGCCACCAGTGGTTACACCACCCTATGTGCCTAAACCTCCTCATGTGCCTAAACCACCATATGTGCCTAAACCACCAGTGGTTACACCACCTTATATCCCGAAACCACCTGTTGTGACACCACCATATGTGCCTAAACCACCAGTGGTTACACCACCCTATGTGCCTAAACCACCAGTGGTGCCAGTTACACCACCGTATGTGCCTAAACCACCAGTGGTGCCAGTTACACCACCGTATGTGCCACAGCCACCAGTGGTGCCAGTGACACCACCGTATGTGCCTAAACCACCAGTGGTGCCAGTTACACCACCTTATGTGCCAAAGCCACCCATTGTTTATCCTCCAGTTGTGCCTGTGCCACCAGTGGTACCATCACCACCCATTGTGACACCGACACCGCCAGTGGTCACACCACCAAGTCCTCCAAGTGAAACGCCATGTCCACCACCACCAGTGGTGCCATACCCTCCACCAGCACAACCAACATGCCCCATTGACACTCTAAAGCTGGGAGCATGTGTAGATGTTCTTGGTGGCCTCGTACACATTGGGATTGGAGGCAGTGCTAAACAGACATGTTGTCCTGTGCTTCAAGGGCTTTTGGACTTGGATGCTGCAGTATGCCTCTGCACTACCATTAGGGCCAAACTTCTTAACATCAACATCGTCATCCCCATTGCTCTTCAGCTTCTTATTGACTGTGGCAAGACTCCACCAGACGGATTCAAGTGTGCACAAAGTTGATATATTTATTAAAAGCAGGTAACGCACATATATTTCAACCCTAATTTTTCATATCTCAAGTTTTCTATCTTCCTTAGAGCTACTTTTTTTCTTTATCATTACATTACTCAGCTTACTCATCAGTTTTTTTTCTCTTCCTTTTCAATCTTTCCTCTCAAGGCGTGGGAACCTGTAAAATAAATCTTTCTTTTTTTGTTATATATTTTGGAGCTTCAACTTTTCTTTCCCTTTTCTAGTGGTGTGGATCAGGGACCATAGTAATACTCTTGAAAAAAAAAATTATTATATACTTGTTAAAGTAATTATTATAATACACTATTAAGGAATGATAAGAGGAAAGAGAGAGACATGAAAGATACACTAAGTTAAATGATGTAAAAAAAAAAAAGGAAAGGGATACAAAGATTCAAAGATTTGTACACCATTATTTGTTTAAAAATACTGTTAGAAACTTAAAATCATATAGTTTCATGACGATAGATGTACTAGGACTATGGAAAACTTCTTAGTATGATCAGTATCGAAAATTTGGAATGCAACTAATTTTAAAAAATTAAACGATTTTTTATTTTTAATGATTTATTAGTTAGATCAGTATACTTCTTTGAAGAAATACTCATTGACTAGCACTAAAATTAGGGTTTCTTAAAACTATACATTCAACTCTTTTTTGACAATTATGTTTTTATATATTTTGGATGAAATATTAAAACCTATTCATATAGTGACATTGAATCTAAAGAAATGTGTAAATTAGTCTGTTTCCTCAGCTAATAATATATAAGAAATGTAAATGTTATATATAGTATGCTGATTAGTGTTTTCTTTTGCCTAATGTTTACAGGAATTGGATAACTCATCCATGGAATAAGTTAATTGAGAAAAATTGTCTTTCGTTTTCTCTTTCATCAAGTTGTATACCAAAGGCCTAGAACATTAATGTAGTATGAGGAAAATTGCGTTGATGTTATGGTGCAGACTGGATAATTTTCTGCTCTGCCTTGTTTACTTATTTTTTCTGCTTTTATTTGTCTATTTGCTCTATTGCGTGTATGGTTCTGTGTGCATGTCAGCGTGTGTAAGTTCACCCGTGAGTGCGTTGGAAAATGTATAATTTAGTGAATTTTTAGATTTTCTTCAAAATGGTTATCTTCTTTATGCATTGCTTCTGTACAATTTTTCCGGGTTTTTTCTATTGTTTTTAAGTTAACAAAAGATAAAGTTTTATTTTGATTACTAATGTTGATTTTAACTGTGTTATTTATCAAGTTAAAATATATTCTAATTTTGATTAAAGAATAGATAATGTTTGAAACGTACGTGTGTAAAAGGTGATAGATTAGTAGCGTGAAATTGTACTTTGTTAATGATAAACTAAACAAAATCTGATCAGTGATTAAAATTAGATTAATAGTATTTTTTTTTTTTGTTCGATTATATATTATTTCATATACTTTCTTTAAGTGGGATAAATAATAAAACAAAGTTATATCCCAAATTTTTTTTGAACTAAAATAAAGTTGAAACGTCTAAAGGAAGTTAAATTCATAATATGAATACAACTAAGTATACTGGCATATTTTAGAATTTTTTTTTAAATTTAAAAATTAATTTTTTAAATAAAAATTGATACTTCGATATATATCATAATATAAAAATATTTGATATTTTTATTAATAAGAAATCACTAATATATTAAGATAATTTTAAGGGTTACATTAACCGATCATTAAAGTATTTGTTCATTAGTTATTATTATTAAAGCATCTTTTATTTAATTTGTTTGGTTGAGGTACTTTTTTTTTTATTGACACAAAAATGATAGGAATAAAATTTTTATGTTTTTATTTCATAAAATCGATCCTATGAATGAAAAATTGATGAATAATAAAAGAACAGCTTGATTTTCTTTCATTCTCAACGTAAAATCACTTTGAAAAGAGATTATAACATTTATTTTTAGGTTAGAATATAAGTGAATGAAAATTTACTTTAATATCATTAATTACATCTTCTGCATTGTATAAAGTTAAATTCTTAATTCTTACAAGGTAACCGTAATAGGACAAAGGCGTGATTAAAATTAAAGTAGGTTGGTATACATACCTTTCTCTGTTTCCTCAATAGAGAAAAGGGTGCATCATTTATTGCGTAAGAAGATTGAGTAGCCAGCTGTAATTTTATATTATGTGCATTATCACTAAAGTACGTAGTGGTAGGTGTTTTTGTTTAGCACGTATATTATGAAGGAAAATTACACGTTCATGCCCACCTTTTGGGTCGTATATGAGTGAAAGTGCCAAAAAGTTAAAATAAATATAAATTGGATGATAAATGTAAAAATTATATTATGTATGCATTGTTTTAGATTTTTACATATTTTTGGATCAGAGAAAATTTTAAAGATTTTTTATTCCTTTAAATTAAACAAAAACTAGTTAAAAAAGGAGAAAATAAAATCTAAAATTATAGAAGTTTAGTTAAAATATATTAACATTATAATTTTTCTTTTATAATTTATTATTATTTTATTATTATATCAATAAAAAAATATACCATTTATGTTAATTAATTAATGATATAAAATTTGTACTTAAATAAATCACTAAAATTGAAAGTCTAATTTTAATCTATAAATACTCTCGTGATTTAATAAACTAAAAATCAGGAGTTTTATGTAAATACAAAAAAAAAATAAAAATAGATACTATGGGTATGTCTTGAGTTAAAAAGTTTTATAAAAATATTTTGCTTTTTATATTATATAGAAGTTAATTATAATCATCTTTGCTAAAGTTATAGTAAACAATACAAAAATCGATTATAATCAACTTTTCTTTAATTTTTAAAATTATATTGTAGAGAAGTTAATTATAATCAATTTTTTTTAATTTTTAAAAAGTTCTTATACAAAAATCGATTATAATTAACTTTTCTTCAATCTCTAAAAGATTTTTACATAAAAGTTTATTATAATAAATTTTTGTTCAAAACATAAGTTGATTATAATAGATTTCAGTACATTCTAACGTGGGTGTGTTGGTTACTACAAAATCCTATTTTTCATTTAATTTAGACTTAAAATATCTAATTATATACTTTAATGTTAAACTGTACAATTGATATATAAATTAGTGCAAAACTTAAATAAAATAATGACCATACATACATATATAGGTTATAAAAACATGTCAAAATACAGACATATCAAAATGTCAAATTTATACATATCCGTGATGACATAACTAGTTTAAAAAGTAGCAATCTAAATTGATTAAGGGATAAACCGATCTAAAAAGTCACATTCTATATTGATTATAGTGTGAATTTATTTAAAATATTTTTTAATAACTCATTGCAATCTATATATTATTACATTTAATTGATAGATAATCAACTCAACAATGATTATAATTTCAACATTCATGTAATATTATAATTTCAAAAATTCTAACATTCAAGTAATCTTATTCTAACTAAAAACAATTATAAATACCAACTATAACTATTAAAAAATCAAAACTATAACTACCATTTTGAAACCCTATATAGAGTTAATATACAATAAAATTGTACAAAAGTTAAATAAATGCAAGTGCTAGAAAAACATGTCAATTATTGATAATCTCAATAAGAAACTGTGTGTAATATCTTCATATGTCACCAATTCTTCTTTAGTTATGAGAGATGAATCTTTAAGTATCTACGAGTTAAAAATTACATAAAAAAGTTGAAAATAAATAAAAGTTTCAAATAAACTTAGCCTCATGAATCAACAATGGTTATAGTGATGATAATGAATATATCATTTCATGACATGATATCCACATTCTAATCTCTCAATTTATTTGTGTGACAAGAAGCAAATTAATAATAATTTATCCCAAGTTAAATTAAAAAATGGCATTAATACAAAAACAATAAAGATTGGATTTCATGTTTGTCAGCCTTGTATTATATATATATATATATATTGTTTTAAAAGATGATGTTGTATGTTAATAATTGTATGCTTGGATTTTTGTATATGTGAGTTGTATAGTTGCTAAGTATAGAACTAATGCAAGTTGTGTGGACTGAATAGACTTAGTTAGTGTAAAACGTAGGATATATCGCTGTAGCAAAATGTCTTTACTATAGCGAGAATCAGTCATCCAAAATGAGACTCTCTGGAGTTCTCTCGTTGTAGTAAGAAGAAGATAAGATTAACCCAACTACCCTCTTGCTGCAGAGAGAGAGACCCTTGTTGTAGCGAAATGACAAATAGTAAGAGGGATACTTTATCTGGTATATCTCGCTATAACAAGAAGATCGCGAATCTGGGGGTATTTAAGAGGTTTTAAGCTAAAAATCCTTATATTCCACACATAACCATCTTCCCCTTGCGATTTTCTCTATTCTTCCACCTTTCCCTTTCCGAGAAAAACTTTTTCAAAATTGAACTTCTTCCCGATCCAAGTGGGAACATTTATTGAGTACGGATCTAGATTGGAGCCTTTGAGCGTTGTTTCCCTCTTTTGGACTCACGAGGAATGAGATCTAAGAAAGCCTATTCCCAGGTAAAAGGGGAGCTTACCCCAAAAAGTCTTTATTATTCACTTGAGTATTATGATATTATTTATGATCTTGATTTAGCTAAGAATAAGTTGACATATGAACAAATCTTAGGGTAGAACCCGTAATATGTTTGGCTGAGTGGATTCTCTGTTATTCTGTGAATAGTATGAAATGATCCATGCTTGAGATGAATGTTTGAAATGTCGTGGTAGAACATAACATGCTGAGAAGCTATGATATATGTGCTAAGAATACTATGTGCTGAAATACTTGATTAATGTTGTGAGCTGCTTGATTTTGTTGTGAAAATATATATGGTTGGATTGTTAAGACTAAATAAAATTATAAATATGGTTGTGTTGCATTATGTTGACTTGTATCATTCTAGAGCCAAGTTACATGTTTAGGTGGTTAAACATGTAATGGTAAGATGTTGAGCTGTACTCTATCTACATCCAGATACCTCTGGATGGTTTGCTCCTAGACCAGAAATAGTTCCTTTGAAATACTTGAGTTGTGAAACTAGTTGAAATTGAATTGTTGCATTTGCATTAGTTGGGCAGGGAATGGGTTGAACATGCTGAATTAATTGTCTGAAATTGTTGTGTTACTTGCTGAGAACTATAAAAGTTTTACTTACCCATAATTGTCGCAACCAAGGAGGCACATGGAAAAAAGAAATGAATAACAAATCAAATATGGAACAGAGAAAAAATAGATTAAAGGAGTTGCAACCAGAATTTTTATAAAACCTTGAAAAACATAGGAAATATGGTCTGCTTAATAAGATTTAAGTTTGAGAGTATAATTACACATGAGAAAGGTATTAACATCTTACCACATTCATAAAAATGATTGCCCTAAATTGTGCAAAGATGAAAATTTAATTTTATTGCTAAATTTTGATATTTTATTTATTAAAAAAATAAATAAGGGAGAAAATAGGCTTTAAAATAATTGGGTCCAACAAGTTTTGATTCTCGTTCATATGTATCCTTTGATGCAATGAAAAAAAATCAAAGATACATAATTTTGAAAGAAAAACTTATTTTGAAAGGTTTAAAAGTGAGAATAAGAACCATATTGAAAGGTTGTAATTAAAAATTAAATGTAAAACCTTTTTAACTCTAAAAAATTATCAACCAACAGATAAGTTTAGGGTTTAGGGTTGTGTGTTTATCTGTCAATTGTAGTAAAGAGAATGTTTTAGACCTTTCAAGTATCATTTTCACAAAGACTATATTGCAGGTACTTATAGTTAGATGTTAAGCAAATGATACTTGAAATTGCTTAACATCTAACTATAAGTACCTGCAATATAGTCTTATAGTCTTAAAAGAAATATGCAAGTTAACTCCTAGCAGAATACAATTGCCTAAGTATAAAGTTCTGTACTAAAGAATTTTCAATCAAACAATTTACAGAAACTCCCTTCTTCTAAAAACATAACATGCATTCTGCTATCATGATGAGTTAACATATTATACATAAGCACATTTGCACATTATTAAGCATTGACAACCAGAACATGTTAACTACTAATATATAAGTTCAAAATGCACACTTTCAGAGTATCTTAT